TTTTTTTTTTTCTCTCGTGTGTGTGTTTTCTCTCTTGTCACACCAATAGGGGACAGCAACTATGACCGTATGGTCACATAATTGTACCCAGTCATAATCGTACCCTATGAAGCCCCACCCACTGCTATACAACTGATCAACAACAACCAACATCAGCCAAACTCATCCTAAAATGAGCTGCAGAAACAGCGAACAGAGAATGGTTCACAGGCTCCCATTCTCTAATCACATCCACCAGGAGGCAGTTGGTGATTGCCTAATAACATCAACATGCATTACTCAGTTAAATGCAACAACACAGCAATGTCTAGAAAGCAACAGACAATTTCCATTCACATGAAGAAACAAGACAGAGTGGCTCAAACAAGTGACCAATAGGCAGAGCTAGGAAATGTTTTGGAGGAGAAAAAGACACTGGAACTCCCTCAAAAATTACTCAAAAGAATAATATTTAAGTTCCTTCAAATGACTGACAGAAGGTCGAGAAAAAATAACTAAAGACACTAAAGGAACAAGCAAACTAGACAAAACAGTGGAGATAATACAAAACCTGCAAACAGAAATCCAGAAGTGTTAATACTAACACTTCAGAAATGGATAGTACATTAAAAGGGCAAAGGAGTAGATCTGAATCAATGGAATAAGAACTAGTTAACCTGAAAATAAATCTTTCAGTATTTGTAAGTTAGAAAAACAATCAGAAAAAGGAAGGAAAAAACCTGAAGAAAGCCTAATTTTTATGTGAGAAACAATGAAAAGGAATAACTTATGTGTGATCAGCATTCCAGAACAGGAAGGAAGACACAAAGAAAAGACAGTAACAGACTTGTTTGAAGAAAACTTCTCTAGCATTATGAAAGACAAGAAATAAACATTCAAGAAACTTAACGAGCCCCAAACAGAATAGACCCCAATAGAAAATCACCAAGACATATCATAAGCAAAGTCTCCAAAATCAGACAAGGAAGAAATCCTGAGATCAGCTTGTGAAAAATGGTAAAGTTATCTACAAAGGAGAACCAAGAACTAAGCTCTGATTTCTCAGCAGATACCATGTAGGCTCTGGTAGCTCTGGTAACGAACTGGGCTGTGAACCATAAGGTCAGCAGTTCGAAACTACCAGCTGCTCCACGGGAGAAAGATGAGGCTTTCTGCTCCCGTAAAGATTTACAGCCTTAAAAACCCTGTTCAGGGTCACTATGGGTCGGAACCGACTCAACGGCACTTAACAACAACAACAACCACGTAGGCAAGAAAGCAATGGGAAGAAATATACAAAACTCTGAAAGAAAAAAACTGCCAACCAAGATTCATATGCTAAGCAAAACTGTCCCACAAATATGACAGCAAAATGAAAATATTTCCAGATAAAGAGAAATTAAAGGAATTTGTAATACCCAGACCAACGTTATAAAAAATACTAAAGGGAGTTCTTTGGACTGAGAACCAACAACAACCTGAGATTAACATATACACCAAACCCTTTCAGATCTCAATCCACATATGTTGTTGCTGTTAAGTGCTGTTGAGTCTGTTCTGATTCATAGCAACCCTGTACAGGGTTTCTGAGAAGTGGCTAGGGAGCTTGAACCACCGACTTTGTGGTTCAAACTGACCTTGCAGTCCAGTGCATTACACCGCAGTGCCACACTAGGACTCTACATATAGAAGTATCCAAAAGTAAAAAAACCCACTAAAAACAAGGAACCAGAGATACCAATTTATAATGAGGATATTAAAAAGCAAAAAGAAGAAAAAGTGTAGTTACAGAACTTCTAAATGGTGAGGAAGTCAAGTGGATTTCAATTAATAAATTAATAAATTACAAGGTAGCCTCAAAAAGAATTAATACATCCTCATATCAAAATAAGAAAAATGTAAACCATAAAGATTCAGTAAACATTAAAATAACAGTAATAAAGAAAATGACAGAAAAATGCCCCAAAAAATGAATTCAACTTAAAAAATTGTGTGTAACAAAGAAACTAGCAGCCCTACAAAAAACATACATAGCAAAATTACAGCAATCAGTTCATACCTATTGATAATTACAGAGAACATCAGTGGATTAAATGCACCAGTCAAGAGACAGAAGAACAGATAAGAAAACAGGATAGTTCAACATGCTGTCTACAAAAGATACCTTAAAGACAAAGACAAAAACAGAATAAAAACCAAAGGATCTAAAAAGATATATCAAGCTAACAGAAATAAAAATGAGCAGGAATAGCAATATTAATTTCTGATAAGACAGACTTTAAGACAAAAACCAGCATAAGAGACAAAGACATTATCTCATGATTAAAGAATCATAAATAAAGTTTCCGGTTCCTCCATTCTGTTTCTGACTAGTAAGCCCAGTTGTTTTTTGTAATTTTGAGTTTTGTTATACATTTTGTCCCACTCTGTCCAAGACAATCTAACGTGATCCCTTTCAGATCAGCTGGCAGTGGTAGTTGGAACTGTTCTTCGGATCTCAGAGAACTACCCTCAACCACTCTTCAGGTCTGGAACGGAACTCACCCTCACGGCCCAATTTTCAGCCAAGCAGTAGATAGGTATATAGAATGGACAACAACACTAGCAAGGTACGCTCACCATTCGAACCGTTCAAGATCAAAAGGGCAACATGTACCTAAAGACAAAGTTCACAAGGGTTGGGAAGGAGGGTTGAATAGAAATAAGAACCACAGGGAGAAAACGGGATAACTGTTGTTACATGGGGAAGTTTGCAATCTTTGAGATGAAATAAATGTATTATTTGTTAAATGTAAAACTGATAATCGGCTCCATAATCCTTCACTCAATTCACAATAAAAAATTTCCAAAAAATTAATAATTTACAAATCACCGATTTTAATTAAAGTCTGAAAGTTCTTAGAAATTAATTCCACATGTACATCTGGCTCCTTATCCTTATTTAAGTGTATTATTTTGGGTATTTAAGGAAAACAAACTTAAAATAATTTTTTAAACTATATACAACTTATATAAGTATGAATCATGAATCTATTTTAAGATATTTAATAATTAATTAACTTTACCAATTTATTTTCATTTCTCTAGTTTTAATTTTTCCTTCCATTGGAAACCTGTAAATATAAACACAGAAGAAAAATTTTACTATTCTTTATTTGAACTAACTAAATCTTTTAAAAATAATTGTAAACATATTTACTTTTTTTTGTACCTGATAGTTATCCGATTTGGATCTTTGTTCAAAATATTCAGTGTTTTCTTTTCACTTATCCTTAACTGGACATCCAGAAACTCCTTGCAGCTGGCTATCATTGTGACCTATAAAATTTTAGCATATGTCATTTTCCCTCATCCTCTTCCTCTGTATTTATTTATTTTTCCACCTGCCCTTGAAGATAATAGTTTTATCAATTACCACAACAGTGCTAAAAATCTGCTTTATATCTTTGATTCATCCCTTCCTAACAAATGTTTGAAAAACACTTGGTATATGTCATATTGTACTAGATATTGAAAATACACTAATAGTAATGATTAATCATAAAATTTCAAATATTCAGCACAATACCTAACACTTAGTAAACACTCTTACTATTTGTAGCTCTTGTTATTACTACTATTGTTACCACTAATCACCCACCCTGGTATGGCATTATAGGATAAGCACTTGGGGTGCTAACCATAAGGTCAGTGGTTCAAACCCACCATAGTCTATACAGGACCGCTATGAGTCAGAGTTGACTCTAAAGCACTTAACAACATACTTTACAAATCATTATCCCAATTTAAGTTAAACTGTTAATGGAAGGAATGATTTAGATAAAGAAATTTTAATTCTAGAACCTAGTTCTGCCACATGATTTTGAACAAAGCACTCTTTGTGCTTTGGTTTCTCATGTCTGTATAAAGAAACTAACACCTGTTCTAATTATCACACATTTGCTGTGAAGATCAGATGAGGTAGTGTTATCACTGGGTATTTTTTACTCTTGATTTTCTTCTTATGTAAGAATAATATGAGTATTTGCATGAAAAGATAAACTTTTTTTGGGTCCATGTGACTACTTACTGGAAATTTTTTATGTTCTATTTTTAGTGTAAGTTGCCCATGTTGGTATGCTCTTAACTGCTAACTAAAAGGTCAGTGGTTGGAACCCACTGGTTACTCCACAGGAGAAAGATGTGGCAGTCTGCTTCTGTAAATATTATATGTTAGAAAATTTGGCAGGACAATTCTACTATGTCATGTAGGGTCACTGAGTTGAAATCAACTTGACAGTATGCAACATTTTTAATGTAATACCCACAGAAATCAACTTAGGTATTTTAAACACATATTATCAAAATTAGATCCCTCATGTGGCATGCAGGATAAGAACTAGACTGCTAACTCCAAGGTGGAGCTGACACAACAGCATTTAACAACAATAACACCTAAATTGGTAGCGTAGTGTTTACGAACTGGGCTGTGAACCTTAAGGTCAGCGGTTCGAAACTACCAGCCGTTCCACGGGAGAAAGATGAGGCTTTCTACTCCAGTAAAGATTTACACCATCGGAAACCCTGTACAGGGTCGCTATGGGTCGGAACAGACTCAAAGGCACTTAACAACAACTACAACATAATTATTTTATTTCATAAAATCTTGCTTCATATTCATGTACCCAATAACAGGAGAAAAAACCAATATAGTCAACAGGTACCAAGAGTACAATTAGAATTTTATTTCCTCCTACAATTGAAGAACGGTTCCAACTACTGATATCTTAGAAGGCCTTGTAGCATAATGGATTATGAGCTAGGCTGCTAAACCAAAGCCCAGCAGTTCAAATCTACCAGTTGCTATGAAGGGAGAAAGATAAGACTTTCTGCTCCTGTAAAGAAACTCTATACAGGGTTCTGATGAGTTGAAACCAACTTTTTTTGGACCATCACCAATACTATTCTATTTCCACTGTTACTGCTATTCTGATGCAAAGTTTTAGGGAGGAGTTGCAAATATATAAAAACATGCTAAAACTCATTGCCCCTCACTCATAGAAGATTTGCCTAATATATCAAGCCACATGGTCTTGGAATCTTTTTCAAAAATATCACTGTTAGTAAAACTCAAAGATAACACATGTAGAGTTTTGTGTGCTTGCTGACAACAGTTCTGGTCAACTTGTGAGTGGAAGGGGTTGAAATGCAGCAAAAGAAGACATGGGCTGAGACTGGCCATGTTTCATAGATGCCCGATGACCTTGAAATGAGAGAGAGACGAGAATGGGTTAGCTGGTTTCAAGTTTAGGGTGATGTGTGAACTCCTGAGCCCCAAAACACTGACCTAGCAACTGGGAGCTAAACATAAGAATGAAGCAGCCTACTGATCTAAATAGGTGTGGGCATGCAATAAGTCCCAAACTCTCAGACAGTACCCACTGAACCTAGCATGGATGGATGGCTGTCCAGAATTTGACCACATGAAGATAAAGTATGATACGGAAGCAAGCGTAAATTGCTACAACCTGATCAACTGGATCCTTGTTTAAGGGTGAGGCTGCTCAAAATCCCAAACAAATAGGGAAGGATTCCCCATATCAAGGATAAAGCATGTCTCCTCAGTACACTGGGTTGATAGGGACGGGCAACTTAGAATTTGTCTAACCAAACTGTGGGGCTATAAAGGCATGAAGTGGCTGGCTTACAAGCTTTCATAAGGGTGCTTAGTCTCAGAACGAGGGGAGTAAGACAGAAAACCTACTGAATAGTTTTCCGGAAGGCCCAGATGGGTTTAATGATGATGGGGATAGGATTTTATGAGTCAATTGTGTGTAACTGCTTTTAGGTCTAATGGTGATTGTCACAATTGTAAATGTAGGAGAGGTGCAACTTAAAGAGAGGAGCAGTAAATCTGTCATTTGAGGAACAGGGGACCCTAGGACCATCAAGAAGGAAGAACATGAGAGGAGCAAGGAACCCTGACCAGAAAAGTGGCAACATCAGAAATGGTGGCAGAGGTGATGGCGTAGAGAGACAGAGCAGCAGCGGACTAACGAATGAGAAAGGCCTATGGGCACGAGGTTGGCTTATAAAATATGCCTTTTGGACATTTAAATGAATATATATATATATATAT